TATATATATATATATATATACACACACATATATTTTTTCCCCTCCCATGAGAGAGCGAGGGAGAGAGAAGGGGGAGCCCCCAATAGGGCCTTCCTGCTGTGAAACACTGCCTGCCTCAGCTAGCTGGATCAGAGGGTGTGTTCAGGGAGCCTGCAGGAGGTGAACCCAGGACCTTCCCACATGGTTCCCCATCACAGAGTGCTGCATTACCACTGCACCACCGGTTGGCCCTCTGCCACACCTTTTGAACCTCAGCTTTCTCCTCTGTGAAATATGGAGCTGGTGATAATCAGAGTCATGCAGAGAATGAAATGAGGTAAGTGAGGCTTAAGTGCCGGCCCGGTCCCTGCCCAGAGTGGGGCTCTCTGAGGATTACCGCCCCAGTCCATTCTCCTGTTACTCCTGATTTCTGCACTGCGATGCATACCTCCCATCACTTCTGCTACTTTATGAACACTGGCCATTCTGCAGCCCAGCTCCTGCAGGAAGCCCAGCCAGGCCGCCAGGGCCCTTCACTTCCAATCTCAGTGGGCCTGCCCAGAACCAAGGAAGCCCAAAGGGCACATGGGGCCAGGACACCACTCCTGCCTCTGAGTTCTGAGAGTCAGGCCTAGAGCTCCGCAGCCTGGTCTCTAGCTCCCCACACTGCACGCCCCTTCTTTGGGGTGGGGTGTGGGGGCTGTGGTGAGCAGGAGGGACTGGGCTGTACTGAGCAGGTGGCTGGCAGTTTAGGTGTGATGAGGAAAGGCTGGCCCAGCCAATGTTGTTGAGAAATCTTCTGATTTCGCAAGAGAAGATTAAAAAACAAAACATGAGGGTCTAAGGAAGCCCCTGGATAATGGAAGCTGCAGCAAGCAGGGCTTTATGTCTGCATGGTCCACTGCTGTACCCCAGCACCTACGACAGTGTCTAGTCCAGGGCAGAGGCTTCCCAAAGACTAGAAGGCTCGGGGGCCAGGAGGTGGTGCAGCAGGACCGCAGCTGACCCACACGGGCCCTGGCTTAGTGCTCACAGGCTCTCCCTCACTCTGAGCATGCCAGGCATGCCTATGACCTGGGCCAGCTGGGACTGGCGGAGGATCACAGCATGGGGATCCTGTTGGGGAGCCTGTCTCCATCTCTCTCTCTCTCTCTCTGAAGAAATAAATAAATAAACCTTTAAAAAAAAAGATTTGACAGATCTGCAGGAGCCAGTTTCTAACCTCTCCCTCCTGGCAGTTTCACATGATGGTGACAAATGAGGGGGATCCTGCCTCTACTCTTACTGTACTCTGTGACACAGGCCCATTACCTGGGAAGAGCTTGCCTTCCTCTCTCGTGGGGCCGCTACACCCTTACTGCCACAG